CCAGGGAGCACCATTGGTCATGGATAAGAGTGGGCAGAAAAAGCCACCAAGTCCAAGCAGGAATACAATTTGAGTTGGAGCCACCAAATGGGCCGGAAAAAGCCGTTCTTGCGGGAACTATTTGTTGCGGATTATAATGGGCTACAAAAACTAAGACCCATTTGATATGTGTAATAGTGGGCCAGCAAACCCGTAAATCCAATTATGGATAAAAAGTCGCCCAGAAACAACAAGCAGGGACCGAACCCGGCCAAACAAAGCACCAAGACCCGGCAATACGATTTGTGAAATTATTACAGTCGTTCTATGCAGGAAATGGAAAAGTTATCGAGAATTTCCGCAGTCTGGACTTCTGAAGGCTCCGTGGGGTGGTCGCCCACAAGCCTGATGGCACGTTCACAGCGCGGCTCTGTATTGGCCGTTTGATGGGGATTGGCCAAGAGGGGAACAATGTCGCTACAACTTGGTAGGGATGGGACATACACCGGACTTGAAAGATTCACCTTCACCAGATCCTGTGACCATCGTTTGCTTAATTCCACATTTTTCAAAAAAAAGTGATTTTTCTTTTGAAAAAAATATATACATGAATTTGGAAATATATTCTCAAAATTAAATATGAATTTTCTTTTTAAGCACATAAATCAACATTGGCTGAAATAAATAGAATATGTTATTTGAAGCAGAATTCTTCGATTGAGGGAAATTTGATATCAATACGTTTTTATATGCTTGAATTTCTAGCATGACTGAATTGTAAATAATTAGCAAAACAACAAACTTTGACCGTTGCAATGGCGACAAAAAGTCATTTATTTTCTTGAAAGCAAACAAACTTTGAAAATGTGTTGGTATCTTTTGGTGCGAATCCTTTTTTGTTTTCCAATTGATGTAAATATTTCGGAAATTCTTTTGCTTGTTTCCAAGCATACAATCTAAATACAACCGACAAACAAGATATGAACATGGTCCTGCTTTTTGCAAATGCGCAGATACCACCCGACACTTGGATTTTTCAAAAACAAACAACAAAGTGGACTAGAAAGAACCGCGTAACGCCATCTAGAAATCACCCAAAGCAAACAATGAAGGCCGCGGTCCACACGCTTGCAGAATCTAATAGCAGCGAAGCTTGGAGATATCGGAATTTGTGCATTGTGTTCCACAACCTTCTTATGTCACTGTTGTAGAGAAAAGATGCAAAACTAGCGCGTACATGCGTGCCAGATTCGGCAAGAGCACTGCAGTTACAATTCTTTTTTTTTGAAAAAATCAAAGTCTCTACTTGACAAGACAAAAGTCAATTAATACGTGCTCAAACAATCATCCATAGCAAATCGTGTTCCCGGGTGTTACCGCTTCTTTCTGGTCCGCTCTTCTCCTTAACAAATCGTATGTCAGGATATTGGCCCACCTTCTTCTGTAAGTTGTCGTGTAGCCGGGTGATCGTCAATACCTGGTCCACCAAAAAAATCGTACTCCCAGCTCTCGGCAGCTCTTTGCTGTTTCTGGCTTATTCTCAATCCCAACAAATCGTTCCCTTCCGGGTCTCCGTGCGGCTTTTTCCGCCCCATTTGGTGGCTCTAACTCAAATTGTCTTCCTGCTGGGATTTGGTGGCTCTTTTTGGCTCAATCTTGTCCATTACCAATTATACTCCCGGGGTTCTCGTGATTCTTTCCGAATCTCAATGGCTCCTTCCAGCCGGGTCTTTACCACCAAACCCGCTGGCCAGAAAAACAACTCAGACCGGTATTGCAATTTGATATGTAAAATAGTGGGCCAGGAAACCTGTAAATCGAATTATGGAGCAAGGTGGCCCAGAAACAACAAGCAAGAACGATTTGCCACGGACCGGACCCGGCCACACAAAGCACCAAGACCCGGGAACTCGATTCGTGACTGGTAACACTAAAGAGGAAAGAGTTTGCGAACCTTTAAAGTTGTCATCGGAGTCGTTCTAAGCAGGAAATGAAAGAGTTATCGAGGACTTCCGCAGTCTGAGGCTCCGTGGGGTGCTCGCCCACAAGCGTGATGTCACTTTCCACAGCGCGGCTCTGTATTGGCCGTTTGTTTGGGATTGGCGAAGATGGGAACATTGTCGCTACTTGTTTATGCTGAAATACGGAACATACACCCGACTTGAAAGATTTACCTTCACTGAATCCTGTTACCATCGTTTGCGAATATTGTGCTATTTGATTAATTCGACATTTTTCAAATAAGTGATTTTTTTTTTTGAAAAAATATATACATAAATGTGGAAATATATTCTGAAAAATAAATATGAATTTTCTTTTTTACTTAAAGCAGAATTGTTCGATCGAAGGAAATTTGATATCAATACGTTTTTATATGCTTGAATTTCTAGCATGACTGATTTGTAAATAATTAGCAAAACAACAAAACTTTGACCGTCGCAATGGCGACAAAAAGTCATCTATTTTCTTGAAAGCAAACAAACTTTGAAAATATGATGGTATCTTTTGGTGCGAATTTTTTTTTGTTTTCCAATTGATGTAAATATTTCGGAAATTCTTTTGCCGTTTGTTTCTGAGCATACAATCTAAATACAACCGACAAACCAGATATGAACATGGTTTTGTTTTTTGCAAATGCGCAAATACTGCGACATGTCACCGGACACTTGGATTTTTCAAAACAAACAACAAAGTGAGCTAGAAAGAACCGCGTAAGCCATACAGTCCAGAAATCACTCAAAGCAAACAGTGAAAGTTCGCGGTCCACAGGCTTACAGAATCTAATAGCAGCGGAGTTTGGAGATATCGGAATTTGTGCATTGTGTTCCACAACTCCCTTATGTCAATGTTGTAGAGCAAAGATGCAAAACTAGCGCGTACATGCGTGCCAGATTCGGCAAGAGCACAGCAGTTAACTTTGCATCTTGCTCTTATCGCTTCTTTCTGGTCCGCTCTTATCCTTAACAAATCGTATGCCAGGATCTGGTTGTATTGGCCCACTTTCTTTTGTAAGTAGTCGTGTTCCCAGGTGATCGTCGGTACTTCTGAAGATCTCGTTATCCACAAAAAATCGTACTCCCAGCTCTGGGCAGCTTTTTCTGGCCCCACTCTTATCCATAGCAAATCGTGGTCATGATTCTTGGTGGCTGTTTCTGGCTTATTCTCAATCACAACAAATCGTTCTCCCGGGTCTCGGTGGCGCTTTGAATCACTCTTGTCCGTACAACTTGTACTCCTGGGTCTTGGTGTCGCAAACTTGACTCCCAGGTCTTGGTGGCTGCTTCTCGAGGTCAACTCTCTGCGTGAAACAAACGTACTCCCAAAACTTGGGGGTTCTTTTGTTGCTTGTTGTTATCCGTATCCTACTCTCGTCTCGATGGTTCCTTCTGGCCCACTCCTAACGGTCACAATTCGTACTTCCAGCTTATTGGCTTTTGTGGCCCATTCTTATCCGCAACAACTTGTACCCGCAAGACGGCTCTTTCCGGCCCATTTGGTGGCTCTAACTCAAATTGTATTCCTACTGGGACTTGGTGGCTCTTTCTGGCCCAATCTTATCCATGACCAATTGTACTCCCCGGGTTCTCGTGATTCTTTCCGAAGCTCAATGGCTCCTTCCAGTCGGGTCTTAACCATCAAACCCGCAAGGCCAGAAAAACCAACTAAGACCCGGTATTGCTATTTGATATATGTAATAATGGGCCAGCAGACCCGGAATTCCAATTATGGATAAAAGTGGCCCAGAAACAACAAGCAAGAACGATTTATTACGGACCGGACCCGGCCAAACAAAGCACCAAGACCCGGGAATACGATTTGTGCCTGGTAATAATAAACAAGAAAGAGTTTGCGGATTTTTAAAGTTATCATCCGAGATAATTACAGTCGTTATAAGCAGGAAGTGCAAGAGTTGTCGAGGACTTCCGCAATCTGGACTTCTGAAGGCTCTGTGGGGAGATCGTCCATAAGCCTGATGGCATCTTCTACAGCACGGCACTGTATTGGCCGTTTGTTTGGGATTGGCCAAGATGAGAATATTATCATTACAACCTGGTAGGGGTGGGATGAAGTGTTTATGCCTGATCCTATGAAATATGGAGTATAATGCCGACTTGAAAGATTTACCCTTAACGAATCTTGTGATCATCATTTGCGAATATTCTGAAATTTAATCAATTCATTATTTTTCAAATTAATGATTTCTTTTTTTTTTTGAAAAAATATATATATAAATATGTAAATATTTTCCCAAAATAAATATAAATTTTCTTTGTTAAACACATAAATCACTATTAGCTGAAAGAAATAGAATATATTATTTAAATTAGAATTAATCGATCGAAAGAAATTTAATATCAAAGCTGCCCAAAAATACGTATTTATATATTTGAATTTCTAGTATGAATTAGTTCTTTAATAATTACCGAAATAATAAAACTTTGGCCATCACAATAATGACAATCAATCATATATTTTTCTCAAACCAAATAAAATTTGAAAATATGTTGGTATCTTTTGGTGCGAATCCTTTTTTACTTTTCAATAAATATTTCGGAAATTCTTTTGGTGATTTGTTTCTAAGAATACAATTTAAATTCTACCACCAAATAAGATATGAATATGGTTTTACTTTTCGAAAATACGCAAATACTACGATATGTCACCCGGTATTTGGATTTTTGAAAGCGTGCGCCTGGCAGTCACGTCACGTGAAAACGCAAGGTGTGTTAAATACCACTGACACTCTCTGGCGCGTGGTATGGAAAAAGAGCTCTGGATCATCAATCACAAACCAGACTTTGAATTCAAGATGAAGCAAAAGGAACCCTTGGATGCTATTCAGCAAAAAGGGTGAGAGGACACTGCGTACAGTAGGCAATCAAGCTCTTCCTTCCGCGCGAAAACAGGGAGAAATCTTTCCACAAGTGGTAAAAAAAACCCTGACTGGACAGGCGCGGCGGCGTGGAGTTTCCACGCTGTAAAGAAGCACTACGCGTTAGAGATTCGCTTCACCTGGATGATCAGTCTTTCAGGAGTTCTGGGACCACGCCCAATAACCACTCAGAGGAAACGATCGTCAGGTGCTCGTCAGCAACACTCTCAGGAGCTCCATGGAGGAAAATTTGAGCACCTTTACCGACCCATGCTTTGTGCAGCTTTTCCACACTGGCAGCGGTCACTGTTCCGTCGCCTGATACGTAGTCCGTCACTTCGGGGATGTCCTGGAAGTCTTCAGTCTTAAAGGTAAGCTGGTTGATAGTGTGCATGTTCCTGCCATAGATGAGATGCGTGGGCACGGCCGGAGGCTCCAGGCGGGCCGCGGTTTCGCGGGCGTAGGGGAAGAAGTCGAAGCGCGCGGCGTCTGGGCCCAAGGCGCCCTTCAAATCAAAGATGAACTCCGGTATCTGATGTGCCGCATAGCCCCGCTTTGGCGTGACTACGATGTGGCTCTCATCTGGGAAGGCCTGCACGTCTCCGACTGGCAGCGGTAACAAGCACCCCGTCGCAGGGGAAGCGACGACCGCCTGTTTCCAGTAATTCTCGATACCTTCAGGCAAGGTGCCGAGGCCTGAAATAATGCCAACAGGATTATGCGCGAAGGCGGAGCAGCCTTTCGGACAGCCCATGACAACGGGCGTGATGAAAATGACTTTGTCCAAGTACTGTTGTTGCCAATTACTGCCCATCACAGTCAACACGTACAGCAGCACGGAACAGCCCATCGAGTGGCCAATTAGCGAAACAGGCTGCTGTGTTTGTGCAAATTCCTCCTCCACCTGCTTTGCGAGAGACTCCTTGTAGCTCTCCATGAAGCTCAAGTCACCCCACTTTCGCCAGTCGTAATTTGCAGGCTGCAAGCGATATTGGTCTACCAGCTTGTCAATCAGCTCGTAGAGCACAGGAATCATGACCTCTTCACCGGGGTTGATCGTAGCGATGCCATCTAGCCCAGGATAAGGCCGAACCTCCACCCCATCCTGGTCCTTCGTAACAAAGACTTTTCGCCCGTCCTTCAACCTGCCTTCAACCTGCTCCAACTCCAGCGTATTTCGCAGGAGCTCAGGCCCGGTGACGATGGCCTCGAAAGATGCCCATGCCAGGTTCCAACCGGGCTCTCTGCAACAGGGGAGGTAGCAGCCTGCATCGGTGCCAGGCTTAATTTTGTTTTGTAAAGCACACGCAGCAATCCCATGTACCATGATCACCGTCTTCGTGCCCTTCTGCGCTCGTGCATTGTAGCTCGTGTCATAGCAGCATGTGGCTATAAACTGCACGCCGCCCATGTCCGCCACTGTATGCCCAGAGAACTTTAACTTTAAAGTGCCTGGCGCAATCAGTTTGTTGTTCTTGTGTACATGAGCTTGTTGATACGGCTCCGGTGTCCCCTTTTTGCCAATTGCTTTACAGCCCCCTTCACATGTTGGGGTTGTTCTTTGTCCTAGAAGATCCGATGATCCTTGAGCCCTTGGCGGCAAGGAGCCGATCACACGTGAAAATCGCACAACCGGAGAGTGCATGCCCAAATTGCTGTTGCCAAATTTGAGGACATTAGAGAAAGGACTCATGCTAGACTGGAAACTGGTATATGCGGATCTGTACTGTGCCCATGTGGCGTCTGCGCGGATTCCAGCAAGCTCTGGCCTTCACCCCGCCCAGCTCGACTGTTCCGGACATCAGAGGCCCAATTTCATCCGTCGAGCGTGCTTGCAAGATGTTGCAAGCTGCTGGAGCCGCACTCTCGCCGTTGCGCGTAAATGTGCGGAGGAATGCTAACAGCAACATGCAAAAGTCTGCTTCAACATAAAGCATCAGCTCCCTGTGACTCGATCGGCGGAAGTCTCAGCTGGGCCATGTGAGCCTACATGCTGCCCGCACGGAGCAGAACCTTTTGGATCAGGCAACGGAATCCGATCCTAACGAATCATGACAAGTTGTCATGCCGTGCCTTCAGTGCTGCAATCTAGGCTGGCTGAACAAATCCACACCTGCTATCTCGAAGTTCAGAAGTTGAAATGTATGTGTCCGCACGCCAGTCACGACTTGTCATTTTCTCTACGATTCTACGGTCTTGTGCGCCATTTGGCAGCAAGGCCATACCTTTGCTTTACAGCATGTACAGCTAGAGCAGCGAGCACCTTGAAAAGACTAGGATGTCCGAAGGGTAGGAAGGAATACAACCCAGCTGCTTAGAAACTGCTTAAAGGCGATGCTACCACGTGCAGGCTGCAAAGGTGAAGTCGTGCTTGCGACAGGAACTTTAAGTCCAGAGCGCTGGACCTTCCGGCTATAAACCCGCGGTGAGGCTATATGCAGGCAAAGCTAACCTGGCAGCTGTCAGACTGATGCCAACTCCTGCGACGACAAGGAGTTCCAGGGTGTTTGATGCTGAGTGCGACTAATGGACTGTTTCGTTCAGCGGAGGCAAAGGATGTCAGCGATTCTCGCCGACATGCAGTGCAGCCCGTCCTACTCTCCCTCAATTTTGTTGAGGATCCTTGCAAACCGGCCGGGTCACTAGGACAGGTCTTGACTAGCGAGAATGCCCTGGACTGGAGCTGCTGTGCGGATCCCCCGCGCCTCTTTGTCAAAAATGTGCACACGCACAAAGCCATCCTGCAAACGCAGCTGGTCAAAAGCAGTCGCAAAAATAATGTTGCAATCACTTCACAACTTGGTGTGGCCTCAGAGCCAGAGGCTATGGCGGAGCCGTCACCAGCAAACGCCAAGGTGTGAACCTGGCCATTCCACCGAATTGCTAGCTTGGGGTCTACACTTAGCTCACTAGTTCCCAAAGCTTAAACTGCTAGCTTTCTAGAAGTTAACAAGGTTCTTACAGTTTCGGCCTTAGGCAGAATGAGGAGCTCCAAAAGAGGCGAGGGAGACCGGACCAAAGTGGCCTTTGTTGGTGACGCCATCGGCCTGGCCAGGTCAATTTGCTAAGAGAGGACACGCCGAACAAACAAGTGAGTGATCATCTGGCTGAGTTCGAATAATTCCAGATTCTAAAACAAGGCTATTTTGGTTCTACTCCCTATATAAACCACCATGTAGGGTGAGGTCACCAGGTCGGGTGAGGTCGCCATAATTTGCCCAGAATCATCCAGTCAGCTAATCTGCTCCAAAAGCCTTCAGCTCGCATGGCAGCTTCTCGGCGACCCCGAGGCGGAAAAGCAGCGTCCCAAATTGCTCGGTTGCGCTGCTGCTTCGAGCAACGTCCCGCACGTCCTGCCAGAACAGTTTCTTGTTGGATCAAGCTTGGCGAACTCTTCGTTTCAGAATTCCAAACAGGGCTTAAGGTGCGCCAATTGCGCTAAGAGCGTCACTGCACAATCTATGCGAAGCCTGATGTGTAGCTTCCACTTGCTTCCGGTGTGATCAAATTACTGAGCTGCTTGCGCTGCAGCACGCTGGCAATAGTGAGAGCACGCCCCGTTTGAGCCCAGAAAGCAGGATGTCCTGGCCGCCAGCCGCGACCACACAAACGCGCCCCGGGCGCTCGGCTGGGGCCTGGATCACGTCACTTCCATCCCTAAATGTTGCTGCGCACACCCGCGACGAGGCCCGCGAGTGAGTCGAGGCCGTGGCACCCAGCGCAGCCTTCTGCGGCAGTGGGCCCAGGGCCACAGCGTTCAGCGGCCGGTCCTCGGATGCAAGCTGTTCTTCAGGTGATGTCCAGGAATCTTGCTTCTCGAGGCGACACGGCTGAGCAGGCTGAGCATGTTGCGGTCTGTGCCTTGTACAGCATCCTCCACTCGGTGCCTCCACAGTACTGCTTGGCTTGGGCAAATGTTCTCTGGGAAGTACCCTTCCAGCTCCCCGCTGAGAGCAGTACTAATACCAAAGCTACGTCTTAGCCCACAAAGCAAAACAGCGCATTGAAGATTCTGCAGCTCAGCAGGAACAGGCTTTCAACATTGCAGCGACGAGGCAAAGCCTACTGGGACCGAGCCTTTGCCAATGTCCCAAACGCAAACGCTCATGTCCTTGGAGTCTGGTAGACAACAGTTCCTCTAGCTGCTGTGCACATCCGGCTTCCCATCATGCGCACAGTATACATTCCACTGGGGCATGCACATGCGAGACGGTAGCCATTAGTTCGCGATCGTCGTTGAAGTCAAACTTTGAAATGCCCGCATCATGGGCCTACACGGCACAAGCCGAAAATGCAAGCTCACATTGATGGGAATAGCACTCTGCTTGCTAGCGCTGAACACATTGAAGAGGTCTCTGCAGCTTTTCGTCACTGGCCTTTAAGCGCTTGACTTCTGCACCGGTGTCCGCTCGCCAAACTATCAGTTCACCTGGCAAAGGCATAAGAGGCAAAGCTGCAAATGAGTACCCGAGTACACAGCACATGTTGGCACCCGTGGCGTGAAGACGTTGCATCACCTTCTGCTGCAGATCCGTTGCTGTGCAATGCTGCTCCAGGTGCTGAAAGAAGAGAGCGTGCCAAGCAAGTAAACAATTCGTTTTGCTACAAGCTAGTGGCAGCAAACAGGGCGTGTCACCGCTGTCATGAGCACTTGCGATGAAGTAGTTGGCCCTGCCCCATCTCACCTGGACAGGGTATCTGAGCCCAAACCTCGCATGCAAAAAGCCCTCTGGACGTCTGCTTCAATGCTTGACCTGGGCTCACCATGCTCAAGTTCGGTTGAAGGCTACACCTCAGATGGGCAAGCCCTCCATATAGGCCTGGAGTGCAGCGGACGGCAGCTTGGGAATAGCAAGCAGCTCCTGGCAAAAATCAGTGCACCCTAAGCACCCTTCTGCTTCGTGTGACGTCCTGACAACAATTGCTAAGCGTAGTCCTAGGTGCGGCTTCAGTAACCAGCGGCGCAGGAGTGTAGGAATTGGTTTTGTGTCCCTGGAGGCAACGGTGATGCCAGCATTCAATTCCAGCTCACAGTTGTACAGAGAAGTGGAACGAAGTCGACTTCCCAACTGCCATGGATACAGTGACGGGATCCTTTCAGATGTCAGAAAATAGGCCGCAATCGGCTTCAAACCTAAAAAGTTTTCGAATTTTCGGCCTTGGCAGAAGCTCCGTGACGTCCCTAAACTGGGGGCCGGTCTGGGAAGCGACTTGGGTTGTACCTGGTTCCAGCTATGGAGCATGAGCTTGTGTACAACCTCTGAAACCGAAGACGTTGAAGTACTTCCTTGGTTTAGGCAAGGAGTGGTCTGCAGATTCTTCGGTCTCGGGGGAACTTTTTTAGCGCTAGGGGCAGCTCTACAGCTCTGCCTTGGCTCCAGAACAGAGTGAGCCAGCGTGAACAGTCACCAGATGTAACTTACCATATTCCCCTGCTGCCGCTTTGAAGCGCGTTGAAGGTCGTAGGCCGGGTGTAAACCGTGGCCGCCCCCCATGTTGGCAGCTCCAACGTGATTTTCGCAATCTCACTTTGGTTGCTGTGGTGGCATGCGGACTTGAGCGCAAGCATCGGATCATCTCATTTGAAGTATGAAGCTCGGTGCCCATCTGATGGCTCCGTTCGATACATTCTTGTTTGCAAGTTCTGGTGCGGCTGCTTGAACCGAGCCAGCTCGGCTGCACAAAGCGCTTGCTCTGCTGAGCTTTCTGAGTTGCTCGCTCTGCCAGTTCTCGAACAGATACTTAGAAGGATCAACTTCGTTGTTTCAGCTTCGCTGCAAGAGCAGCTGAAGCGCCTGGCAGGGGAAGCACAGACCAGCAGAATTTCAGGGTGGCCTGAGTCCTCCATGGACTCGGCAGGGTTTTGGGAACCTTGCAGGACATTCAGAAAAGGCCGAAAATAAGTGATTTCGGGCTTTCAAGGCTCTGGGGCACTTGTAGCCTTGGCCGGCCAAGCACAGGTGCAAAACCACCTGGCCCAAGCGAACTACTACCGAGATGCAGCGAACCTTGACGATTATCTTGCGCACGCCCACTTCCTGCCTTTCATCAACAATGAGGCCTGCTGCCACTGGTGCTTGGTCATCCGACGTAGATTTGAGCTGCGTGACTCTCAAGGCGGGATTATGGGGTTAACGCAGTGCGGCACACGTTGTACAGCTGATCACAGTGCAGATGGAACTGCCGACACACAACAGCCTCCAAACCGATCCTGCTTTCGACCGTGAAATGTGCAGGTCAAGGGCCAGGACGGGTTGGCGGAGGGGCAGGGCCTATCAATCGCAGCCCTGACGCAGAAAAGGTCGCTGCCAAAAACTTGCAGCGCAGGAGAACGCCACTTACAAGGAGAATTTCAAGTCCCTGCAAAAGCTGGTGCTGGTAATGGCTCAAGATGACACCATGGCCACCTTTCGTATGCGTGTCGAATACAAGGTCTTATGAATCAAAAATCACGATGCGAGCAAATCTCTTGAAATATTTCAGAAATGCCTTATCTAACTTTGAGCGCGCGAATCTTAAGAGTTAATATCTATTAACGAAATTCGGGGAGTTTTCTGCTCAAAGATGCTTCTTGAAGAAACTTTAATGAGCCCCTTTTCTCACCCGGTGAGATTCAGCAACGCCGATGCTTGTGTTTCACGTGGCTGCCACTTCGTTTCCGGAGAGAGATTAAAGATCAGGGTTTAATGACCCTACAACCCCTAAACTTGCCTGCAACCTCCCGGAGTTCTGCTTCCCAAGCCTGTGTCATATCAAACTTTGCAATTGGGGGCCGGCTGTCTCCTTTGAAGTGTTGACAGAACATCACGCAATCATCAAGATAAACGTGAACGGATCCGAGTTTCAGCTTCTTGCAAAGCCTAGAAGCTGGAAAAGGCGTCTGGCTTGCAGCGAGTGC